AGGAGGCCATGTCATTAGATTTTCTTCTTTTATACCCTTTCTTGCCAGCCACGCTGTGGAGTACTTGGACGCGTGTGATGGAGCATTGTCCTGCATGAAAATCATGTTTTTCTTGAAGGATGCAGACTTCTTCCTGTACCACTGCTTGAAGAAGGTGTCTTCCAGGAACTGGCAGTAGGACTGGGAGTTGAGCTTGACTCCATCCTCAACCCGAAAAGGCCCCACAAGCTCATCTTTGATGATACCAGCCCAAACCAGTACTCCACCTCCACCTTGCTGGCGTCTGAGTCGGACTGGAGCTCTCTGCCCTTTACCAATCCAGCCACGGGCCCATCCATCTGGCCCATCAAGACTCACTCTCATTTCATCAGTCCATAAAACCTTAGAAAAATCAGTCTTGAGATATTTCTTGGCCCAGTCTTGACGTTTCAGCTTGTGTGTCTTGTTCAGTGGTGGTCGTCTTTCAGCCTTTCTTACCTTGGCCATGTCTCTGAGTATTGCACACCTTGTGCTTTTGGGCACTCCAGTGATGTTGCTCTGAAATATGGCCAAACTGGTGGCAAGTGGCATCGTGGCAGCTGCACGCTTGACTTTTCTCAGTTCATGGGCAGTTATTTTGCGCCTTGGTTTTTCCACACGCTTCTTGCGACCCTGTTGACTATTTTGAATGAAACGCTTGATTGTTCGATGATCACGCTTCAGAAGCTTTGCAATTTTAAGAGTGCTGCATCCCTCTGCAAGATATCTCACTATTTTTGACTTTTCTGAGCCTGTCAAGTCCTTCTTTTGACCCATTTTGCCAAAGGAAAGGAAGTTGCCTAATAATTATGCACACCTGATATAGGGTGTTGCTGTCATTAGACCACACCCCTTCTCATTACAGAGATGCAAATCACCTAATATGCTTAATTGGTAGTAGGCTTTCGAGCCTATACAGCTTGGAGTAAGACAACATGCATAAAGAGGATGATGTGGTCAAAATACTCATTTGCCTAATAATTCTGCACTCCCTGTATATACATACATACACACATATATATATATATATATATATATATATATATGCACACACATATACACACTGATCAAAAAAATAACACATCCTAGATCTGAATGAATTAAATATTCTTCTGAAATACTTTGTTCTTTACATAGTTGAATGTGCTGACAACAAAATAACACAAAAATAAAAAAAATGGAAATCAAATTTTTCAACCCATGGACGTCTGGATTTGGTGTCACACTCAAAATTAAAGTGGAAAAACACACTACAGGTGATCCAACTTTGATGTAATGTCCATAAAACATGTCAAAATGAGGCTCAGTAGTGTGTGTGGCCTCCACGTGCCTGTATGACCTCCCTGTGCATGCTCCTGATGAGGTGGCGGATGGTCTCCTGAGGGATCTCCTCCCAGACCTGGACTAAACTATCTGCCAACTCCTGGACAGTCTGTGGTGCAACGTGACGTTGGTGGATGGAGCAAGACATGATGTCCCAGATGTGCTCAATTAGATTCAGGTCTGGGGAACGGGCGGGCCAGTCCATAGCATCAATACCTTCATCTTGCAGTAACTGTTGACACACTCCAGCCACATGAGGTCTAGCACTGTCTTGCATTAGGAGGAACCCAGGGCCAACCGGTCATGCTGGTGGATGTTGCATGCAGCAGAACTTTCTCCACGGCATCTCCAGACTCTGTCACATGTGCTCAGTGTGAACCTGCTTTCATCTGTGAAGAGCACAGGGCGCCAGTGGTGAATTTGCCAGTCTTGGTGTTCTCTGGCAAATGCCAAACGTCCTGCACGGTGGTGGGCTGTAAGCACAACCCCCACCTGTGGACATCGGGCCCTTATACCACCCTCTTGGAGTATGTTTCTGACTGTTTGAGCAGACACATGCACATTTGTGGCCTGCTGGTGGTCATTTTGCAGGGCTCTGGCAGTGCTCCTCCTGTTCCTCCTTGCACAAAGGCAGAGGTAGCGGTCCTGATGCTAGGTTGTTGCCCTCCTACAGACTCCTCCACGTCTCCTGATGTACTGGCCTGTCTCCTCGTAGCGCCTCCATGCTCTGGACACTATGCTGACAGACACAGCAAACCTTTTTGCCACAGCTTGCATTGATGTGCCATCCTGGATGAGCTGCACTACCTGAGCCACTTGTGTGGGTTGTAGACTCCGTCTCATGCTACCACTAGAGTGAAAGCACCACCAGCATTCAAAAGTGACCAAAACATCAGCCAGGAAGCATAGGAACTGTCTATCCCATTTGCACAACAGCATGTGAAATTGATTGTCACTCAGTGTTGCTTCCTAAGTGGACAGTTTGATTTCACAGAAGTGTGATTGACTTGGAGTTACATTGTGTTGTTTAAGTGTCCCCTTTATTTTTTTGAGTAGTGTATGTATATATATAAAAATCCCTCAATATCATTTGAGATACACTTCATTTAAACAAGCAGGAACACTATTTCCTTTCAGCTAGTGCAATTCGAACAATGAATTTGTTAAAATTAATAGTAATAGATTTATTTAATTTATAAATAAAGGAATCTTGTCTAAAACCTATCTATAACCCCTTAAGGACGGGTGACGGACGAGGTCCGTCACAGAGGGGAGACCCTTAATGACAAGTGACGGACCTTGTCCGTCACGTGGTAAAATTAACCCTGCGCGGCAATCGCGGGGTTAATGGTGCTCCGGTATGCCTCTGTATACTCACCTTCCGCCTCCCTGCACTTCCTGGTTCTGTGTGAAGTGCAGGGAGCCGGAACAGTGCTGATCCTGCCCTCTGCTGTAAAAAAAGTTAATTTAAAATCCCACCCCGCCTTTAACCATTTTAATAAAAAATTAACCCTTTCCCTGCCAATTGATCACTGGCTACAGTGATCAATTGGCAGGGATTACATTTTACTATGATCTGATTTTTTTTTTTAACCCCTGAGGGTTAATTCTTTTTTTTAACCCTCAGGGGTTAAATTTATTTAATTCATTAAAATATTTTAAAATTATATATTTAGCTAGCTGGGGTGGGTGGAAGTTAGTGGGGAATTGGGGGATTTGGCGTTAGGCTAACTAGGGGTTAACGTTAAAAAAAGTTTTAAAATAAAACTTTAAAAAGTTAAAAATTAAGCTTAAAAAAGTTTTAATAACGTTTAAGTAAAAAATAAAAAAACACCCCCCTTTACCTAGTCCAAATAAAAATTAACCCCTTCCCTGCCAGTCGATCACTGCCTACAGCGATCAAATACAGATATTATACTGTGATCTAGTTTTTTTTAACCCCTGAGGATTAACTTTTATTTATTTTTTTAACCCTCAGGGGTTCAATTTATTTAATTAATTTAAATATTTTATAACTATATATTTTGCTACCTGGGGTGGGTGGGAGTTATGGGAAAATGGGGAATTTACTGTTAGTGCTGCTTACTACTAGTTAGGGGTTAACGGTAAAAAAAAAGCTTAGAAAAATGTTAAATCTGTAAAAAAAGTTTTAAGAAAGTTTAGGAAAGTTTTAAAAAAAATTAATAAGCAAAACAAAAGTTTAAAAACTACACCTGGAACAAACTAGAGAAAAAATTATCCCACGCCAAGGTTCAAAATATGCCTTTTGAATTACCCCAGAGTGTATTCTTTAATAAATAGTATGTGTTTGTGGGGAAGTTTCAATAACCAACCGTCTAAACTACTCCAAATTGGAACATGGACACAGCGTAAAACTTCAAAGTTAGAAAAAAACTGAATGGCTGCGTCTCAAATGCGCCCCTTCAACATCCACATATACATGGCAAAAGGTACATACGGGGGTATTGCTGTACTCAGCCGACATAGCTGAGCAACATATGAAGTATTATACAGTCATAGCACACATAAGGTTTGCAAAATATGCTGCGCAAACTCACTTTGTATGTCAAAAAGGCAGAAAAATGCTTATTACCACTACATCTGGTACAAGCTAGCGGAAAAATGATCCCACGCTAAGGTTCAAAATATGCCTTTTGAAATACCCTGGGATGTCTTCTTTAAGAAATGGTATGGCTTTATGGGGTATTTGGATTATATAGCCTAGTAAAATACTCTAAAATGGGACATAGGCACAGCGTAAAAATTCAAAGTTTGAAAAAAACTGGAATGGCTGTGTCCCAAATGTGCCCCGCCGATGTCCACACATACCTGGCAAAGGTACATACAGGGGTATTGCTGTATTCAGCCGACATAGCTGAGCAACATATGAAGTATTATACAGTCGTAGCACACATAAGGTTTGCAAAATATACTGTGCAAACTCACTTAGTATGTCAAAAAGGCAGAAAAAATGCTTATTACCACTACATCTGGTACAAGCTAGCGGAAAAATGATCCCACGCTAAGGTTCAAAATATACCTTTTGAAACACCCTGGGGTGTCTACTTTAAGAAATGGTAGGCCTTTGCGGGGTAGTTTCAATTTAAAACCTGCGAAGATGCTTGGAAATTGCACATAGGCCCAGCGTCAAAATTCAAAGTTCGGTAAAAACAGATATGGTTTGGTCTCCTATATGGCACTGTAGCTTTACGAAATAGTGCCAAAGACATTCATATGGGGTGTCATTTTACTCAGAGGACTTAGCTGAGCATAATTTGGGGGGTTTGAACTTAGTAGCACATATGAAATATACAAAACGCCCAGCAAAAATGCAATCCGTATGTAAAAATTGCACAAAATTATTTTTTACCACATACTTTGGCATATATTGGTGAAAAAATGGGGGCATGTTAAGGCACAATATGCACCTTGTGAGATACCCTGGAATGTCTACTTTTACAAATGGTTGGCCTTTGTGGGGGTTTTATGAACAGTCAAACTGTTATAATACCCCAAATGGAAGCTAAGGCTCATTAAATCCATCTCTCAAAATTCTACTTTGAATACTGAAAAGGACAGGTATCCTGTATGGCACTGTAACTTCACAAAATAGTTCCAAAGACATACAATGGAGGTGTCATTTTACTCAGCAGATGTAACTGAACACAAAATAAAACTTTGTACAGGAATAGCACACACCAACTTTACAAAATATACACGAGAATTTCTTTGTTATAAGTTTGTGTGCAAAAAACCAAAAAAACCCACAATTTTACTCCAATATTTAGCAGAGGTTGGCGGTGAAATGGCTACATAGAAAGTGTCAAAACAACCTTAGGTAAATAGCCCGTGATGTCTACTTTATATAAATATATACTTTTGTGTGGCAATTTTGTTTTCTTTTATGGCTATTAAGCTTACAAGACAAACATAAATTCTAAAATCGCTCCACATTAAAAGTCTATTTTACTCCTTGTGCTTCGTGACCTGTAACTACCAAAAAAAACTTAAAATCCCAGACACATTATATATTCTGTAAATCAGAACAACTAAATTAATTTATTTTTAATTACTTTTCTTAACCTGCACTAATTATGCACACATTATTATTGCAAAAACTGTAAAAAAAACCACAAAATTTTCATTTGTTTTACATTTTTCTGTATTTTTTTATAATAAATAAGCATTTAAATATATGTGTGTTACATCAAATTAAAGCCCTTTCTATCCTTTAAAAAACGATGTATAATATGTGTTTGTGCAACAAATTAGTAAAATGCAAATTCGCAGTTGAACGCAAACAGCAAAAAATTTAAAAAATGCTGTTGTCATTAAGTGAAAGACACGCTTTTGAAGCTCTGTCCTTAAGGGGTTAAGGTTGTGAAACAAAGCAAAAAAATAGTTAGAATCATGAAGAGTAATTTAGAAAGGCAAAGTGTTTCCAACACATACCGTCTGAAAAGGAAAAGGCAATATGGGTGGATGGCCTCTGGTATAAATTCAAATGTACTAATGTGCGCTTTATAGTTAGAGATGTCGCGAACCGTCTGCGAACTTCTCGCGAACGGTTCGCCGCGGTTCGCCACAAGCTGTGGCGAACTCCGGTCAGCTGACACTGTGAAGAAATGACTCCGTTAATCAGGATTTCTACTTTTTTGTACAGTTAATTCACCAAATTCAGCTGGAATTCGGCATATAGCTTTCATTTCTACCCTTCGGATGGATTCAGGCGAATTCCCTGTGTAAAATATAGGTGGCCGCCATTTCGGCACTTTACACGTGGCCGCGGCCATTTTCCGTGTGAACAGCGGTGTTTGCCCGTCAACGCGTGGAACTAAAATCGGATACGCGAACAGGCGAACACCGCTGAGACCTCCATACATCCAGAACTTCGCACGGGAACGACCGAATCACCGGCCGTTCGGTAGTTACATGTAACTTAGTATGGGGATTTCAACGATCACAAAGATGCGAATAGATGGCAGGGCTTTCGTCTCTTTTATTCGCCTAAACCGAGACCGACCGCAGGGCCAAAACTTATGGAACTATTTTCGGCTAGATGGTCCGTGCGGTCGGTCAAAACTTTAGTGTTCCATAAGTCCCGAACCATTCATCCGAATGGACTGATTTTTTGATATGTTGTCCCCACAAATGAGAACTATCCAGCGGTACCAAATTTAAAAGTGTACCCCCTGTTTTTGGGGTACATCCAGAACTGGGGTAAAATAGTGCACGTTTTAATGAAGTTAACTGTTTATCAGAGGGGAGGGAGGTGTGGGCTGTAACCTATACCTGATTGGTGATTTAATGCCTCCCCCTGGGTGTGTACTTTTTGTCTGTAACCTCAATAAAAAGCAGGCTGGAGATTCCAGACCTCAGATCTACTTGTATCCTGATTCTGGACTCTGACTGTTATTTGGGAATTCGTATGCTTTACCAAGGGGATTATCTTGGGAAGCTGTTATATTTCTTATGGACTTCATTGCTTAGAACTACCTTAGACGCTGGCATTGCAGGAGGAATTATCAAAGCGGTTCAGCTATACTTGATTTCCTTACAGACACGTCCCGGCCAATCTCCAGCAGACCCTCCCTCCCAGACCCTCCTACTTCCTGGACAGCATCCATGTTTCAGGAAGTAGGAGGGTCTGGGAGGGAGGGTCTGCTGGAGATTGGCCGGGACGTGTCAGCTGACCGGAGTTCGCCGCGAACAGCTCGTGGCGAACCGTGACGAACCGTTTGCGAGAAGTTCGCGGACGGTTCGCGACATCTCTATTTATAATATATCCATTTCAAATACTGTGGATTTACAGACTTTCATTGGATGATATTTACTCTAAGACTCTCTATTTTAAGTGAAACTAGATACTATTTTCCATGTGTTTGGTTATTTTGCTAAAAAATAGTCCACTTCTAATTTGTTCACAGATTCACTGCTTAGTTAGCAGATCCCCTTTTTCTTTTATTTTATTTTTTTATGTCTTTCCTGGACATTTCTGATCTAGTCCATGCTATATTATATGCACTTAGTTATATACCATATCTTATTAAGCTATCCCACATGTGATCTCCTAGTACATTTAGGACTTTATATCACTATGATATTCAAACAACTTGAAGTGGCTGTATAACTGTTAAAGCAGAGATTTTTTTCTTATTAAAATTTGAGAAATGTCCATTTCAAACTTGCAGAAAAGAACCAATAATTAGTTTTGGTTCCAGAGTAATAATGTAGCAGTTACTAGTAGAGTTCTATACATACCTCTTGTATGATATACATTGTTTTTTTTGTTGACTACATACTTTCATACTCGCCCAAATTCACCCATTTTCGTTCCTCTCATTCAATTACCAAAGTGTGGAAAAAGATATACAGGGAAATGTAGGATAGGCAAATGCGGAAATGATTAACTCGAATGGTGTTAGTCTCTACCATGGGAAACACAAGTGATTTATCACAAACATGTTACATTTAGTACCCTTCTGCAGAAATGTAACTGGAGGGAGTGGGAAGCAATGGGAACAGCTACACCATGTAAAACCTCTGCCACATGTGGAACCTTAAAGGAAAATACATTAAATGGTTTCAATATCTTAATTTAAACTTTTATGCTATTATTTTTTTTAATTCATATACGTATATAGAATTTTTTGAAGAAATCACTAGCATGCCTTCCTCACTCACCCTTTCTGAAAAAACATTCATTGTGCACCCTTGGTCAGAATGAAGCCCATGGAGCAACACAGGAGGGGAGTGGGCCTTGACAGGGCCAGAGAGTTGGCAGGTGAAGTTAAGGTCAAGGGGTGTGGAAAAGCAATGTCTGGACAGGGGGGGGGAGGAGAATAAGGGTTTAAATAACAGCCAATTTGGTGAGCTGGCCTTTTTAATCAAAATCACACTTACTTGATACTTGTCAGGTTTGTGTGGTCTGTTCTTTTTCTTGCAGGGATGGCTTCTGCCGAAGAAATCTTGGCTGGTGTGAGAAGAATGGTGGAAGAGAAGGGGATGGCGTGGCTGCAGGATCAACTGGGGGTCCCGAGCACGTCTGCTCCCCCCACTGCGGTGTCAGAGAGGAGGCCGACCAGGAGGGCACGTCCGCCCCAACGACTCAGCCCGGGAGCACCGCCAGCGGCGAGGAGGAGCCCAGCGCCGCAAAGTGGGGAAAAGGCGGCCCAGGCGGAAGGACGGGCCTCAAGAGTCGGAGTGCGCCGGGCGGGCGCCGCCGGTGGGAGAAGGCCCCGCCGCAAGTCTGCGGGCGGGAGGCAGAAGGACACGGCTGGATCCTGTACAGCTGGGATGGCAGCCAGGCAGCAGGGCCGTGATGGTCCGGAACTTCAGCGCCCCGGTGAGTCCGCCCCTAGTGGCGATACTGAGGGGCAGGAGGATGGGGTGCTTGAGGACAGCTCGACGCCAGCGCCCCCTCAGGTGACAGGTGGAGAGGCAGATGGCAGGTCAGGGACGGGCTTAACCCTCACAGGGAATAGGTCCAGGACAGGTAGCGGTGACAGGGGCAGCAGCGTCTCCGGGCAGACGGGAATGGCGAGGGGGGGTGAATCCCTGCCCTCAGGAAGTTGCCGGGATGAGAGGAGAGGAGACGGCAGGTCAGCGACAGGAGGTTGCAGGGACATGGAGGAGCCGCAGGGGCTGAGGAGGAAGGAGACATGCAGAGGGGTCAGAGGCGAGCGGGAGCCCCCTATGGGCCGCTCTCAGGCGCAGCAGGACAGGAGCTGGGCCAGGAGGCGAGGAGTGAGTAGCGAGCGGCGCAGTGAAGGGGACAGGAGCAGCACCCAGAGGAGGTCAGCAGAGCAGGGGAGGAGCAGGGACAGGAGCCAGTCCAGGAGCCACCGGAGCAGGCAGAGGTCATGCACCAGGGAACGGAGGCTAAGATGTAGACGCAGTGCTTCCAGTTCATCGGGCGGGAGTTTAAAGGACCAGCAGAGGAGGTCTTACGGCCGGGACGGTCAGGCAGCGAGACAGCGTAGCGATAGTGACAGGAGGAAGGAACGCCGGGAGGAAAGGCGGGTAGGACAACACGTGGACAGACTACCCAGGTTATATTTTCCCGGCAGGTCGAGGAGCGTGACACCTACGGTCCCGAGGAGAGGCCAGGCGGAAAGGAGTCGGCGGCAACAGGAGTCTCCGGAGCCTGAAATGGCGGACGGAAGGACAGCAACCCTGCGGCCGGCCACGGTCGGGGGCACTGGCGGTGAGTCACGAAGTACACCACACACTGGGTCCTTATTGGGTTGCTTAAAATCTTTCATTAACTCCTGGGCGGGAGATGAGGGGTCAACCCCGCAGTTTGGTAGGGTATGGTCGCCAGAGGACGGGGGAGATAAAGAACAAGGGGCGGAGAGGATGGTGACACACAAGTCGGGTGCCGTCGAAACGGGGGACGGTGAGTCGGGAACCGGAAAGGCAGTCGGGTCTGGCCAACAGGTGGTCGGGGGTGGTGAGATAGCGGACGTGGCACGGCAAAACGTGCATGTGTCCTTCGCGGGACCACTAGGATGTCACCTGAAAGCGGAGGTAAAAGAAAAAATTGGGAAGGGGGAATTCATGGAAATCTTCTCCTTACTTCCACTCGAGGAATTTCTCGACTTGAAGGAAGAGGATAAGAAGGACGCTAAAAAAGAAGAAGAGGAGAAAAAGCGGCGGTATCGGAAGATACCCAAGACTTTTGGGAATTGGCTCAGAGCCTTCTGTATTTTGGCGAGCGTAGTCGGGGAAAAGCACCCAGAACGATGTTCGCAGCTGTTTGTCATTTGGACGGGATAGGGGACGCTTACAGGACTTATGGGGGATTAGCATGGTGGCGGTACGACGAACAATTCCGCCAACGGTTGGCAGGGAATCAGAG